AGGAACCAACTTTGGTCGCACAGCAGGAGGCCCCTATATACTACATGTACCATGTATTTAAATTGACTTTTAAATATGGGTATTCAAACATTTTACATTTAAAAACCGGTTCTTAAGGTTTCAAAGCAATTTAAACTGGTTTTAGAAATTTACAAATCATATTTATTTCAAACAAAATCAAGAGTTTTAATAGCCAGACCTCAGTAATGGTGAAAAAGAGTGATGATGCTTCTGGTAAGCTAACTTGGGCGTGGGCACTAGAGCGAAAGAAAGATGCCTTGCTTGGAAAGGGCAGCCTTAACGCAAACCAGCTTCTCGAGCAAAAGGACCTAACTTTGGATGCCAGTGACTACCTGTGGTACATGACGAATGTCGATATCAACGACACCTCCATTTGGAGCAATGCAACTCTTCGTGTGGACACCATGGGTCATACGCTCCATGCGTATGTTAAATGAAGGTATGCTGGATACAAATTTAGCCAATGGGGATGCAACTTCACGTACGAGAAACGAGTCTCTTTAAAGAAGGGAATAAACATCATAGCTTTGCTTAGTGCCACTCTGGGGCTTGCAAATTACGGGGCAGGTTTCGATAAGATAAAGACTGGTATAACAGGCAATCCTGTTCAATTAATTGGGAAGAACAATGTGATTATGGATTTTTCAACCAACCTTTGGTCTTATAAGATTGGTTTGAACGGGGAATGAAAGCGTCTCTATGATCTACAACCACACATTGGTGTAGCATGGCATGCTAATTCATCCTATCCTATTGGTAAACCCATGACTTGGTATAAAGCAAACTTTGAAGCTCCTTATGGAACAAACCCCGTGGTGGTGGACTGGCAAGGGTTGGGGAAAGGACATGCTTGGGTGAATGGGCATAGCATTGGTCGTTATTGGCCTTCTTGGATTACTACTACCAATGGATGCACTGACACTTGTGACTACCCCGAAAATTACGTAATAAAAAAGTGCAATTACGTACAAACAGTTACGCACTTTGACATAAAAATATTATGCTAGCATTTCTTAAAGTTGCAACACCAAATTCTTTCTTTTATAATTTCTAAAAACAATACGTACAAACAGTTAAAATATTTTTTTATAAAAATTTTAAATATCTTAAAACAATAATGTAAAGTTCAAATTTGAATAATAAATTCAAAACAAGTGTTATACAGTAAAATGATATACCGGGAAACCACAAACAGCAGTCTGCACTAATTTCTGATAATATAAAACCTACATCTACTACAAACAACACTTTCAACCAAATAAATGTGTAAAACTAACTTATTGTCAAGGAAACAACACTTGTTAAACTAAATAACAAGAACATTACAATTCAAAACATCAAGTTAGTCATTCAGAAATCTGTTGGGAATCCTTGAACTGGTGGTGGGAAGGCATGAAAAACTCCTATTCCTTATTGTGCATTTTGAGATTGAAGAGGAATATTCTTGAAGAAAGATTCTTCAAATTGAGTGGCCCTATCATCTTGTTGATTAGAACAATCATCGTGTTCATTGAACCACTTTTCAAAATCAGAACGATTCTTCAAATTGAGTGGCCCTATCATCTTGTTGATTGGAACAATCATCAAGTTCATTGAACCACTTTTCAAAATCAGCCAGTTCATTAGCCCAAATCACAGAATCACCACCATGAAAAGCATCACCTTGTTGCATGTTAATTCCATGATTACTAACACAACCAAATTGATTTGATGAATTTGTAAATTTCACACTCATATTATTTTCACTAACTGGCTCCACAGGAGTAGGGATGATTTGGTTTGGATGAAAGTGAGCCATGTTTTGCATGAAATCAGAATTGGCTTCACTTTGATGCTTGTTTTTTATCATGTTAATTCTTTGCTCACAAACTCCAATCTTAGCATCCACATGAGCAAGGAAGGCCCTCAAATGCTCCTCTTCCATGTTTATGATACATGGATTCCAAGTTGGATACTTGATGTCAGTGATCTCTTTCCGCACTTTGGAAATCTCAGCTTCAACCATCTTTTTCCTATTCTCAAAAAAATCTTGAATTTCAAAGGTCTCTTGAGATCCCTCATTCTTTGATTGCTCATACTTTTGAATGATGGAGTGTACCACTGTGGAGTCTTGAGGCCAAGTTGTTAGTCCAGTATCACCATTGCCATCAGCATGCAAAATCAAGCATGCTTCAACTCCACATATTGTGCAAAATTCAGAGATTTTTTTAGTTAACCCTTTTTTTCTCTGAATGAAAGTTGTCTTGCGAGACCTCTCATTTGAGATGCGTTTGAAAGTTACTTTTCCACGACCCATTTCCTTCAAAACAAAAGCATATACACAATAAGATAATAGAACATGGTCAATAATACATAACTAGTAACTGTGACCCCAACACACAGTGTTAATCCTTCTTATTGCAATACATATGAAAAAGAAAATACAAATAAAAAAAAAATCATCTTAATTCCTTATTTTCTTTACCACTAAATCCTTTCACTGAGAGGTTGACAATGTGACACACATTCAAACCTAATCAATCTTCCTCTTTTAATTTTTGAAGATAATTTGTATATATATGTGTATGTTTTATAAACCAAACAGTTGAACTGAAAAACCAGTGCAGCAGTCTTATGTTGAGCCTAAGAACTCGTGAAAGAAATGGCAAGAAATGCAAGGTTTTGGTCTCTGATGGATCAGTCACACTGTCAGCATCTCGGTGATATAAACATAAGTCCCTTTGTTTAAAAGAAAAAAAATAACCAAACATGTGACAAGGAACATGCAACAACAGATATTGTAAACAAAGTTTTGGATGAGAGAAAAAGAACTTACCTGACAGAAGGGAGAAGAAACAGAGGAGAATGCGAAATGCAGATCGAAGCCTATAAGCCAAAAACAAGACAGGTTCTTACTTTGCTATGTGAATGTGAGGTTCTAAGTCCTACCCTTTATATATATATATATATATATAGTTAAAACCAAACATAACCCGTTCTTGAGGAATCAAATCCTTTTGGTAAATATATCATCAGTCTATCAATGCAATTCTAACTCATTAGAATTTAGTCGATACATATGATTTTTTAATTAAGGTAATTTCTTTTAATTTAATGGGGATTCTTTCTTGAAACAAATATTTACATTCATTGCTATAAAAGTAATTTTAGAAACTCTATGTATATTGATCGATTTTAGTATCTAGAATAAATTGCTTCTCATCGATGAAATAGGCAACTATTATTGATATATATATGATGTTCTTCATTTCCATCTTTTGTATTATTATTTTTGTCTCTTCTTACAATATCATATTATTACATCTAATGAATTTTATTTCTTCTATTTCCTATTTTATCAATATCTTATCTTTCTCAATTATATTTCTTACTCTCTCACCATGTAAACTCTTAATCATCAGTATTTTTTTACTGCATTTATAATTAGGACTTAGTCGATACAAATAAATTTTTATTTGAGGTAAATTTCTTTGAATTTAACCGTGAGTCTTTCTTGAAACAAATTTTTACATTGATTGATATATAATAAATTTTGGAAACTGTATAAATTTATTGATTTATTTGAGTGTAATAAAATTTAGAATAAATTATTTATTAATTATTATTGATATATGTCATCCGTTTGACATTAGTTTTAGTATTTAAAAAATGTCCAAAATAAATAATATCCTCACATTTTAATATAATATTAATTTATATTTTTTTAAATTGTCCCTTCACAAATTATCCAATCATCACAACTAAAACCAATAATATTATATAAAAAGTGATAAATTTATCATCAGTATGTAGAAATTTTTAACTATACTTATTATGAGGTTAAAAGCATATGATTAATTTGTAGTCTATCTATTGCATTTATTATTCTAATATGTTCTTACAATATATATACCTATTATTACATCTAATAAATTTTAGGTTCCTTTAGTGTAAGTAATATATAACATGTTTTGGTATTCCCCTTTATATTGTCTAATATGTGATGTATTTACATGACACGCCATTTAATATGTTATTAATATAATTATCCAATAGGTCATTATAATTAGTACAACATAGCTATTAAGCAGCTAAAAATATAAAAGATTCAACTATTTTAGAATTATCATATAGTAGTACCTAAATATTTATACAATAGAGAAATGTATAATAATCATAGACAATTGTCTTAAATTTTTAACAAAATTAAGATCAATATGATAGCATGTGTGTAGTTCTAGATATCGTGTTTATACTACACAAGATCATAGAAGATTAAGTTACGAAAATACAATTTGTGAGTGGTGATAGTGAATTGTTTTACCTTTTAAGTATTATAATATTAGGGTAAGAAAATTAAATCTCATTAAATTTAATAAATATTAAGCATAGATACATAGAATAACACTTAAATTTAATGATATTTAATTGCTTTACCCTAAGATTAAACACTTAAATAATAAAAAAATTCACTATCATCACTCGCAAATTATATTTTCGTAACTTAATCTTTTATGACCTCATGTGGTCAAAACACGATATCTAGAGTTACACACAATCTTAATTTTTTAGAAATCTAAGACAATTATTTACAACTTCTCTATTAGTTACAAGAGTTGTTTTTACATTTTACTATTTTTTAAAATTACAAAACTACAATGTTTAAACATAAATTTGATAGCTTGACCTCTACTCACTAATTTAATCATATCCTAAGTTATAAACCTCCTTTTAAGTTATTGTAATGCAACCTAAAATCTAAAATCTAACATCTAAGGCTACAACTCTTATGAAGACTGCAAAACCTAATTTTATCATTTAAGTCTCCTCAAAATACTTACAAGTTAAAGACACTAATTTTTGTGCATAGGACATAAAACTGATCTTTTAATTCACATAACTCAGTTATTGCTTAACATTTTTGTGTAATTTAAAGTTTAAATTATAGCCTAAAATGTACATTTTTCAATGCAACAAACGAAACTCAATTTCATTAATCACATAGAAAGAAATCACAAAAATATTAACATGTTTCATACAAAAACTTCAATTAACCAACACAATTCAAACCAAAACTCAAAAACTCCAATTCAATCGATAAAATCATGATTAATTCCTAAAACTACTCTATTATGTCATCAAATATTCAAATTCAACATCAATTTCACAAAGAACATCAACATCAATCTTCAACCTGCTCTATAAATCAAGGGTTTCCTATAAAAACTACTAAATCTCAAAAATTCACAATTAATCTAATCCAAGCTAATATAACACAAAGATCAATCACAAAGCACGTACAAATCATATGAAGTACAAATTTTCATTGTACATATTGAATCAGAATTTCTCCCATAGAACACAGAAAAAGCAACAAGATTGAGGGTCAATCATGCTACCCAAAAGATATCACACTCTAGAATGAGATTACTCACTTTCCCTTACCTGGATCTTGGGGATGTGATCATCCAACATTTGCATTATCCTTGAATAAGGATTTCTACCAAAGAGCATACAAAAGTAACCAAAAGAATTGAGGGTCAATCTTGTTATCCAACAAATATCTCACTCCTTAGGGTGAGATTACTCACTCTTCCTTACCTAAATCTTTTGGATGTGATCTTGCAACCTTTGTGTTCTCCTCTTAGTGTTCTTGGGTTCTAGAGAAAAGAAGTGTACATAAGAGCCAAAGCATAAAACTAATGGTGATTTCTAAAATCTCCTTTTTTTAAAAAAAAAAAATCCTATTATCTTTTATATTAATTATTTTTAGATTAAAATACTCCTAATTAAAGTATTTTCTCTTAATTTAATTAAATGTATTAATTATAAACATTTTAAAGAACATGCATTCTAATAGGTTAGGAGAAAGATGAGCATTAACTAGGAGAGAGAAATAGTATAAGACATTTATTCTAATTGACTAAAAACTTGTAAGATATATGAACATTAATCAGGAATGAAAAGTAGTATAAGGATAGTATCAGAAGGAATATATATATATATATATATATATATGTATATTGGAGATATGTTTTGAATGAGAATCTCTTACTTGTTGTGATTTTGTAAATCTTAGTATATACTTTTGCCCTTAATAATCCATAAATCATGATATTTATGATTATTATCATGTATGGTCTTGTAATTTGTAGTGCCTTACTCTACATAATGTCAAGAAATAGATTATTAATTGACCACTTACTAAGGCGGG